TGGCAAAAATCCTTAGATTTGTGATATGGCCCTAGGGCTCATTAGGCAGGTTCGGGGGCTCGTACGCGCCTAGTCAATGCGACCTTTAGTATAAACTGGCATTAGGGCTCTTATACCTTTGCTCAACTGTTTTGGCTTTAGTTTCTGCGTCGAGTTTTGACTCGAGCTCATTTGACCCTCGAGCTTTCGCGTCTGCATGGGCTGGAGACAATGGCCCTTATGCCTCTGATCGAAGCGATCTCTTATATGCACGGCCCTGCAGCTCATTAAGCTGGCAACAATAGCTCTTACTCTTTGCCCTGAGGCATTTGTATTTTAACTATTTTGGGCTCAGTCTCCTAGTCGGGTTTCGACTCGAGCACAATTGACCCTCAAGTTTTGTATTTGCATGGGCTAGCGACAATGGCTCTTATGCCTTGGGTTGAAGCGACCTTTTGTATGCATGGTCATGAGGCTCATTATGGTGACAATAGCTCTTACGCTTTGGGTCGAAGCGACCTTTATATACACGACCTTGAGGCTCATTAAGCTTGCGACAATGGCTCTTACGCTCTGCCCTTAGGCGTATGTTGGCTTTGTTTTCCTCTCGTTAAGGACTTTTTGTAATGATTTTGCCTGACCCGTCGTCGGTTCGGGAAGAACCTTGATTTCAAGTCATTTACGGCGATGTTCGAGCACCTCGGAAGTTTTGGCTCGTAGGCTGAGTAGCTCGGAGCCTTGTGATTTGGAGCTAAAATGGTAGAAGCTCTTTTGCTTGTCGAGGGTAGCTCGTTTAACCGGTTTTTTTCGAAGTAGATTCTAAGTAATGGCCTATGATTTTGTAGCGACGGTCGGGCATCCCCGTGTCGCGTTAATTCGGTCGGTACAGCCGTATGCCCGTAGTCATTTGTGTTTAACCGAAGCCATTTTTGGTCCTGAGTGTAGTAGTTTAGGTGTCTATATCGAGGGTATACCCTTTCGGGAGTCTTACAAGTGCGATATATAGCTTAAACTTCGGGATTGAATTTATGCCTGTAGTAAGGTCTTAAAAATAATTCATGCCTTTTGAGGTCTTAGAGTTTTGTTGATACTTGGTACAAGTACGATTCATGCCTTGCTTGAGGTCTTACAGTTTGTGTTGTTGATACTTGGTACGAGTATGATTCATTCCTTGCTTGAGGTCTTATAGTTTTTGTTGTTGCCTTTTGTAGGCCTTACAAGACTGAGTCTGCCTGCTCGGGGTCTTATGACCTCGGGTTTTTAATAAATGGCGATTGGCGACAGTCTCAAAGTTATCGAGTTTGTTTAGGCTCAGGAGCTATTACTCATAAGCTCGGAAATGCCTTATTGAGGGCTTATAATTTCGGAGATTCCGACCTTGAGGTCATGCGGGTGCCGAGTTGCTGATGCCAGTCTCCAAGTATTTGGGGCGCTCTTGGTGGAGGAATTTTTGTTGAGAAAATGTTGAGTTTCCTTTAGAGTATGAGGTTCTTTGGCAAAAACATTCTTTGATTTCTTGGCACAAGTAAATATCATTTTGTTGCCGTGGGTCCGGCTCATACGGGCACGGTTCATTCAACTGTTTGGCCTGGTACATCATTTTCCTATTGGAATCCTGTTTGGGGTTCCTCGGTTCCTCCGAGTGGGTGGCCTTTCGAGGGGGTTCCCCCTAGTGTTCGGGGTTGATTGCAAAGGAAGCTTCGAACACTTGTTGTATTCCCCATAGGTAGCATGTAGGTGTTTCCTCGTTAAAAACCTTGCCGTTAAAACCCTCTTTGGGACAAACTACGGTCAAAGGAAAAGAGTGCAACGCTTGCTCGAGGGTATTTATGGAATTTTCGATCGGATGCCCTAGTAGTAATATCATTTTAGCATGGATATATTCCAGTTTCTCGGAAGTTGTTCGCCCTCCATGGTGCCGAGCTTATAAGATCCCTTACCGACTACTCCGAGGACACGGTACGGTCCTTCCCAGTTCTGGCCCAGCTTCCCTTCATTAGGGTTCCGGGTGTTGAGTGACCTTCCTTAGGACTAAGTCCCCGATCCCGAAATACCGAAGATTTGTTCTCATGTTATAATTTCTTTCGATTCTCTGCTTTTGGGTGGCCATTCGAATCAGCGAGGCTTCTCGTTTTTCATCCAGTAGTTCAAGGGCCATTGTCATGGCCTCGTTGTTCGAGCCCTCATTAGTATGCTGGAATCTGGCGCTCGGCTCCCCGACTTCCACAAGTATTAAAGCCTTGGCACCATATACTAGAGAGAAAGGCATTTCCCTGGTGCTTGATCTTGAAGTTGTTCGATATGCCCATAGCACCTCGGGCAGCGTTTCTCTCCATTTTCCCTTGGCACTCTCCAATTTCTTTTTTATGTTCTGAATGATGATTTTATTTATGGATTCGGCCTGGCCATTTGCATATGGGTGGTAAGGCATCGACAGGATTCTCTTGAATTTGTGATCTTCAAGGAACTGTGTTACCTTGCTTCCGATGAATTGCCTCCCGTTATCGCATCTTATCTCAGATGGAATTCCGAATTGACATATGATGTGATCCCATATGAAGTTGATGACTTTCTTTTCTCTTATTTTTTCGAAGGCCTGCACTTCCACCCATTTTGAAAAATAGTCAGTCATAAATAAAATCAATCTAGCTTTACCTGGTGCTGTCGACAAAGGACCGATGATGTCCATTCCCCATTTCATGAATGGACATAGTGATAAAACAGAATTTAGTTGCTCGCCGGGCTGGTGAATCATGAGAGCAAATCTCTGGCATTTGTCGCACTTTTGTATGAATTCTTTGGTGTCTTTTTCCATGCTGTCCCAATAGTAGCCTGCTCTGATCACCTTTCGGACTAAGGAGTCGGTGGCGTAATGATTTCCACAAGTACCCTCGTAACTTTCTCGAAGTACATAATTTGTGTCACCCGGCCCTAGGCATACCGCCAAGGGGCCATCGAAAGTTCTCCTGTACAGAGTCTCATTTTCATTGAGCGAGAATCGGGCTGCTTTGGTTCACAGGGCCCTTGATTATTTTGGATCTACGGTGGAACTAATCTTTTTATGACCTTCCTTAACCACTGATTTAAACAATTGGACAATATCCCCGGGGAGTAGGTCCTATTCTTCAATAAAAGATCCCAGATTCGCGAGGGCAATAGCCTCGCTGTTCTGCTCTCGAGGTACATGGACTAAGGTCCATTCTTTGTAATGACGTAGTGCGATTTGGATTTTGTCCAAGTATCTCTGCATCCTGTCTTCTCGAGCTTCGTAGCTCCCATTCACCCGGCTTACTACAAAGAGTGAATCGCATTTCGCCTCGACTGTTTCGGCTCCCAAGCTTTTAGTTAGTTCTAAACCTGCAATCATAGCCTCGTACTCGGCTTCATTGTTAGTCAATTTTGTAGTTTTTATGGAATGCCTTATTATGCCGCCAACGGGTGGCTTTAGGACTATACCGAGCCTGGATTCTCTTATGTTTGTGACACCATCTGTGAACAGGGTCCATACCCTGGAAGACGTGCCTGATTTTAATAAAAGATCCCTCACTACCTCGGGTACGAGGGAGGGTGAAAAATTGGCCACGAAGTCCTCTCGAATTTGGGACTTGATGGCCATTCGAGGTTCATACTCGATGTCATACCCTCCGAGTTCGATGGCCTATTTGGCCAATTGGCCTGATAGCTCGAGTTTGTGCAGTATGCTCCAGAGGGGGTACGTCGACCGAATGCAGATACGGTGATATTGAAAATAGGGCTTCAGCTTTCCTGAGGCGCTTATTAGCGCGAGAGCCAATGTTTCTAGATGGGGATACCTGGTTTCGGCGTCCCCCAAGGTTCGACTTATATAATAAATAAGAAATTGCGTACCTTGCTCCTCTCGAACCAGTACACTACTTACCGCTATTTCAGACACGGCCAGGTACAGATATAGTGTTTTATCCTTCTTTGGTGTATGCAGCAAAGGTGGACTAGTCAGATATCATTTTAGTTCCTCTAAGGCGTGTTGGCATTCTAGAGTCCATTCAAAGTTTTTCTTTCTTTTGAGTAAAGAGAAGAAATGATGGCTCTTGTATGATGACCTTGATATGAATCTGCCCAGGGCTGCTATCCGCCCTTTTAGCCGTTGTGCGACCTTTACATTGTTCACCACCGTGATTTCTTTGATGGCCTTTATTTTGTCAGGATTGATCTCGATCCCCCTGTTTGATACCATGAAGCCCAGGAATTTGCCTGAACCCACTCCGAAGGCGCACTTCTAGGGGTTGAGCTTCATGTTGTAACTTCTGAGGATGTCAAAAGTTTCCTGCAAATGAGTCAAATGGTCCTTTTTGCGCAGGGACTTAACGAGCATATCATCAATATATATCTCCATTGATTTACCTACTTGATGCTCGAACATATTATTAACTAGGCGCTGGTACGTTGCCCCTGCATTTTTTTAGCCCGAAAGGCATTATGTTGTAGCAGTAGGTACCATACTTTGTGATGAACAAGGTTTTTTCCCTATCCTCGTGGTTCACCTGGATTTGATTATACCCCGAGTAGGCATCAAGAAAGGTGAGGGTCTCGTGGCTGGCCGTAGCATCGATCAGACGATTGATGTTAGGCAATTGGAAGGAATCTTTGGGACATGCTTTATTCAAGTCTTTATAATCTACGCACATTCTTAGCTTGTTTCCCTTTTTAGGCACCACTACTACGTTGGCCAGCCATTCAGGGTACTTTACCTCTCTAATATATCCTATTTTAAGAAGTTTCGTTACCTCTTCTTTGATGAAGGCATGTTTTACCTCGGACTGTGGTCTTCTCTTCTCCTTTACGGGTTTAAACTTGGGATCGACGCTCAACCTATGAGAGGTTATTTATGGCAGAATTCCTGTCATATCTAAGTGGTACCAAGCGAAACAGTCAATATTGTTACTAAGAAATTGAATAAACCCTTTCCTGAGTTCGGGGGTTAACCTCATTCCCAGGTATACCTTACAATCCGGGAGGTGTTCGATTAAAATGGTCTGCTCCAGCTATTCGACTATCGATTTAGTTGCGTCCGATTCCTCGGGGGCAACGAAGGTCCGAGGAGCGAAGAAATCTTCTTCGTCATCCTCGGGGGTCTGTGTGTTCCTCACCTTGTCTGAGATCGGGTGAGTGGGGATCAACGCCTTATGGTGAACTGCAAACATTTCTTTTGCCACCCACAGTTCTCTATGTATAGTCATTATGCCGTCCTTCGTGGGAAATTTTATCACTTGGTGCAAGGTTGATGGTACTGCCTTCATGCTGTGTATCCAAGGCCTGCCAAGCAATGCATTATACCTCATGTCGCCATCGATGACTTGGTACTCGGTGTTCTGAATCGTGTTGGATGTGTCGATCGGGAGGGTGATCTCTCCTTTCGTTACCTCATCGGCTATGTTGAAGCTATGGAGGACTCGAGGGATGGGGGTGACTCGATCGAGCAACCCCAATTGTCCTACTACCTCTGATCTAATTATGTTGGTCGAGTTTCCTGGATCCACAAGCACACATTTTATCCTGGTATTGTTTAAAAGAAATAATATCACCAGTGTGTCGTTGTGCAGTTTTATAATGGCCTCGAAATCCTCCTCGCTGAACGTGAAGGTGTTTTCAGGCATGCGCTTTTGGGTCGGTCCCTCTTCTGTGGCGGACGTTCTTGTCCGTTTGAACATGGGTCCTTGGGGGACGTTGGTTCCTCTAATAATCATATGAATATAGTGTTGGAGAGTCTCCCTTTCCACCCGGGTTGAGTTTTGCGGTGGTGTACCGACATCTGGAGTAGTCATGTCCTTCTCTTTGTGGTTTTCGTGGTTGTTGTTCTCAACTCTGTTCACTTAGCCAGACATTTTGTCCTGAAATCGAAGATCATGTGCAAGAAAAAGTGTGAAAGGCAACTTGCGTTGTGTAATGAAACCAACAAGAAACTAATTACTATTATTTTTAGCCCCACGGTAGGCACCAAACTGTTTACCGTGAAAATGATAATAACAATTAAATTTGTTGATGGGACTCTAAAATACGTAATCAATTTTTATGCTAGTTGTTAAGCAGTTAATGTAGGTATGTGAAGTTTAAAAGACGAAACGTGAACTAGAGTAGAGTTATAACCAAATTGAGGGGTTGGCTATTCGGGACTTGGACTGACCGATGAGGGGCCTCGAGGTCGATGGCTGGGCTCGGGCTCGAGCTATCAGGGATAATCAGGAAAGGGCTAACAGTTAGGATATGATTAAGGGAGGCTCTTTATGGACAATGACAAGTAGTAAATGAAGAACAAGTATGAACGTAATAAATGAAAGTAATAATATCGAAAGAGTGTATGAGAAAGAAAAGAGAGTATTCTTCTATATTTCTTGTGGAGTGGATGGAACAACAGAGTTTACAAAGTGCCAAGGATCCCCCTTATATAGGAGGGGAAATCTCAACATAGTACAAAATGCATTAATTGTAAAAGTATGGAGATAGGACAACTAGACATGACACCAGGCTCTGCCAGTGCTATTTGCCCGCCTTGGGAACTCCCCATCCCCGGCATCATCGTTGGGTCAGGCGTAAACGGACATCGAGGGAGAGAACTCGAACGCAACCTCGCAGCCTCGAGCTCTTGAGATGACTTCCTAAAATGCCTTAATGACGAGGAATTGGACAGTCCAATTTCAACGTATATAGTCATGCCCAAGGATTCTGACTCGACTAGACTTTTGCCTTGATGTCGGCCCAAGGATTCTCGAGCATGGCTTATTCTGTCGGAGACCGGGGTGCACCATGGGCTCAATTTTACTTGTATATAGATAGTCCCCTCATTTCTCAGAGAATAAGTCATCGAGTAATGACATGAGCTTCCCGTGTCCTTCTTCGATACAACATGTCAGAAACGACAAAAATGCAAAACCTCTTGTCAGTCATGTCATAATGGCATTAAATGCATGTCGGCTGTCGATTGCACGTCCCTATACATATCGCCAAACTACTATAAATGCCCCCTTCTTTGTTCATTTTCAGTTTACATCACACCTTCTACCCTCTTACCCTTAGAATTACAATACTCTTTTGCACTTTTACCCCCGTTACTCAAGGTCTTTTGCAAAGAATTTTTTTTTATCCATTTTCATCTCAAGCCAAAAAGTCTAATCCTTCAACTTCCTTTCTTTTTTCATCTTTTCCAGATCTTCCTCCATTTTTACTTTCTAAAAGAATGGCAAACACTTCCAAAATAGTTCCCCAGAAAAAAGCTCTTTCTACTTCGAGGCCGACCACTGAGGTCGAAGAGACCGCTCCGGGCGTGGCTATTGATGAACTAATAGGTAAACCCCTTGAAAATGTTCATCCCCAGGGGGTGCTTGGTCAATGACAATTTCAAGGTTGAAAATCCTTCCTCCGTGCAGGGTCAGTGTGAGGAGGTCTCGAGATACATCTTCTCGATCACTGAAGAGGTCCTCCCTATAGTCTAGAAAGACTGCAACTGGGTCGATAAACACATAGTGGTCCCCGACCCTTAGGAGGACATTACCACCCAAGTCGAGGGATATCTGAGTGTTTAAACTTATCCCTTCACATTGGGACAAATGGACTCGGTCATCATAGACTTCTGTAACAGATACGAGGTATGCCTCGGTCAGATCCATCCTTCAATGTGGAGGACTGTAATCCTCTTTCATTTTTTTGTGAGCAAATTTGACTCCTACCGGTTCATCGTGGATCACCTACTTTGTTTGTACAGTTGTAACGACCTGACCGGTCGTTTTGAGCTTTTGCACTTTGATCGCCAGTTCTCGGGTATGACTTGCCCCGTATGATGTATTATGACTGATGTAAATCGTTGATTTTGGTTTTCACGGAAATTGGTATGAATTTGAAAGAATAGTCTAAGTTGAAAGCTTTGTATTTGAAAGGTTTGACCAAGAGTTGACTTTGTTGTATATGAGCTTGGATCAGAATATTTATGATTTGGTTAGCTTTTTTGGGTGATTTATGACTTAGGAGTTTGATCGGATTTGGTTTTGGAGGTCCGGTGTAGAATCAGGCTTGAATTGGCGAAGTTAGTATTTTGGCGAATTTCGGTTGATAGGTGAGATTTCGATCCGGGGATCGGAATGGAATTCCAAGAGTTACAGTAGCTTCGGTATGTAATTCGTGATGTGTGTGCAAAATTTCAGGTTATTCGGACGTGGTTTGGTTGGGTTTTTGATCGAAAGCGCATTTCGAAGGTTTTTAGAAAAATTAGGCTTGAATTCGATGTGAATTGATGGATTTGGTGTTATTTGAGGTTTTTGATGATTGGAACAAGTTTGAATGAGGTTTTAGGATGTGTTGGTTTTTTTGGTTGAGGTCCCGGGGGCCTCGGGTGAGTTTCGGATGGTCAATCGGACCATTTTTGGTATTTTGAAATTGCAGATTTTGGAGTTTAGGTGTTGCAGAGTGTATCTCTTCGCGTTTGCGAAGAAGGAAGGAGGAAGGCCAGGTTTTAGCCTTCGCGATCGCGAGATGGGCTTCGCGTTCGTGGAAGGATGGGATCGAGTGCTTTGCATTCGCATGAGGTCTTACGCGATCGCGTATAAGGAGTGGGGTCCAAGAGGTTATTGCTTTTCGCGTTCGCAACATAGGTCTCGCGTTCGCATAGTATGGGAAGTGGAAGCATCATGTTCGCAGTGTATGTGTCACATTCTAGTAGCATGTTTTGAAGTCTTGGAAATTTGCTCTTTACGATCGCGAGGCTCGGGCCGCGATCGCGATGAAGGAAGTTCAGAGCTGGGCAGAAAGTTTGTAAAACATTTCATCCATGATTTTGAGCCATTATTCCTCCGTAGCTGAGTATTTTGAGAGCTTTTTGAGGGAAATTGAAGAGGGATTCATGGAGAATTGATTGGAGGTAAGATTTTTGAACCTAAAACGTGATTCTATTGTGAAATCCACCTAGAAATTCGTGGAAACTAGGCCTAAAATGGAAGAACTAGGGCTTGGGATTTTGAAACTTTTAAATTGGGATTTGAAGGACAATTTGAGGTCGGATTTGAGAACTTTTGATATGTTTGAACTCGTGGAAGGATAAGGAACCCGTTGATGTAAAACTTTCTGAGTTTCAAGAAGTGGGTCCGGGGCTCGAGTTTTGGTAATTTGGGGATTTGTGCTCGTTATTGATTGTTTTCGCTTGGGCTTTGTTCCCTTAGCATATTGTGATGTATTCGTTCTGATTTTGGGTAGATTCAATGCGCGTGGAGGCTGATTTGGGGGGGCAAAGGCGTCGCGAGCTAGAGATTTCGCAGGTTCAAGGTGAGTAATGATTGTAAATGATGTCTTGAGGGTTTGAAACCCCGAATTGCACATCGTAGTGCTATATTGAGGTGAGACACATGCTGGATAACGGGCATGGGGTCGTGCGCTATTGGGGATTGTGACTTGGTCCGTCCCGATTGATGATTTTACCGCGTATTTGACTGAAAATTATTTGCGATCATTATGTTTTGGGTTGATTGCCATATTTGGGCTTTGTGCCAGCTATTTGAACCCTTCAGGGACTGCTGTTGATATTTTCTCACTGTTTTGATTTTATACTTGAACTCAATCATGTATTTCCACTATTTTCAAAACTCAACCAAGTTTATTTCGCTTTAACACTTGAAATGATATTTCCAATAATATTTTTTGGACTGAGCATCATGTTTACTGCTGCCCTAAGGGCTTATGTGATTTTTGACTGAGTAAGGCCGAGGGCCTGTATTGTGAGGATACTTTTGGATCGGGCTGCATGCCGCAGCAGTGAGATACTGATTGATTATGAGGCCGAGGGCCTTAGATATGTACGCCACGAGGTGGCTTGTGATTTATATGAGGCCCCGTGCCTAGATTTGATGCCACGAGATGGCTTGATATTGCGCTTGGGCCGTAAGGGGCCCCTCCCGGAGTCTGTACACCCCCAGTGAGCACCGTCGATGAGATATATGGATCGGGTTGCACGCTGCAGCGGTGCTGGTACTGTTCTATGTGCTTACTTTATTTTATTTGTCTGCCAATGTCTGTCGTTTGTGCTACTTCATGTGATATCTATCTGAATGCCTCGCATTATCTATTAATTGAGTGTTGTGCCCGAGGGGCGGATTTCCGTACTTATCTGCACTATTTGTTTTGCACTCATTTGCGTAACCGTTGAAAAAGTCATTTTTAAAAGAGATTTAATCTGAGCAAAGATGTTTTTCCAAGGATTTCACAGTTTCACTGCTTTTACTCAAAGGGTTTTAGACTGCTCTCTATAGCATGATGGTTTGTTTTACGTGGTTTCTTACTACTTAGTTATTATTTACCTTTATTACTCACTGAGTTGGAGTACTCACTTTACTCCCTGCACCTCGTGTGCAGATGCAGGTATTTGTTCACCCGGTAGCGGGTTTTGAGCTGGTCGGAGGCTAAGTTATCGGAGTTTAGCAAGGTGGTTGCCCGCATTCGCAGCACCGATTTTCTCCCTTTTCGTTCATCAGTTCTGTTTTGTACATCTCAGACCTTGTAGTTGTATTTATACTCTAATAGATGCTCGTGACTTGTGACACCCCGGTTTGGGTTGTGTTTGGGTTGTATTCTGTACTTAATAAAAAAAACTTTTGTTTAGACTGTGGTTATTTAATTT